ACCTTGTATGACCCTCTACGACCTTGTATGACCCTGCAGGATGCCCATATATACGACCCTGAACGAACTTGTACTACCCTGTTCGACCTTGTACTATCCTGAACGACCTTGTATGACCCTGCAGGATGCCCATATATACGACCCTGAACGAACTTGTACTACCCTGTTCGACCTTGTACTATCCTGAACGACCTTGTATGACCCTGCACGACTTTGTATGATTCTGTACGACCTCGTATGACCCTGTACGACCTTTTACTACCCTCTACGACCTCGTATGACCCTGTACGACCTTGTACGACTGTACGACCTTGTATGATTTTGTACGACTGTACGACTGTACGACCTTGTATGACACTGTATGACATTGTACGACCATGCGTGACTTTGTGTGACCCTGTGTGGATGCTAACTGAATAGTTCAGGAAGCGAAGACCTTGTCAACCATGGATTCTCTCTGCGCAGAATCCAGCAAGCAGTTCGCAGAATCCGCCGGCTAACGAACTCGGCCTCTCCTACGTCAACTTCATCCGCGCAAACCTCGAGATCTTCCACCAGAAAATCAACGATGAGCTGTGGATCCTAGGATTGTTTGAGGTGCGTCGCGGACGTCACTGATAGTCTGCTCATCCTTGTCTCCGTCTCTCTCTCTCTCTCTCTCTCTCTCTCTCTCTCTCTCTCTCTCTCTCTCTCTCTCTCTCTCTCTCTCTAACTCTCTCTCTCCCTCTCTCTCTCCTCTCCTCTCTCTCTCTCTCTCTGCTCCTCTCTCTCTCTCTCTCTCTCCCTCTCTCTCTCTCTCTCGCTTCTCTCTCTCCTCTCTCTCTCTCATTCATCTCTGCTGCGTGACGTGTGCTGCTCTCTCTCTCTCTCTCTCTCTCTCTCTCTCTCTCTCTCTCTCTCTCCTCTCTCTCTCTCTCTCTCTCTCTCCTCTCCCTTCTCTCATCTCTCTCTCTCGTCTCTTCCTCTTCCTCTCTCTCTCTCCTCTCCCTCATCTTTCTCTTCTCTCTCTCTGCTCTCCTCTCTCTCTCTCTTCTCTCTCTCTCTCTCTCTCTCTCTCTCTCTCGTCTCTTCTCTCTCTCTCCGCTCTCTTGCACCCTCTCTCTCTCTCTCTCTCTCTCTGCTCTCTCTCTCTCTCTCTCTCATCCTCTCTCCCTCTCTCTTCTACTCCGTCTCCGGTGCAAGCCCCTCTCTCCTCATCAGCGCTCTCTACGTCGGGATCTCGTCTTCCTTGCTCCTCTCTCTCTCTCGTCTCTCTCTATCTCTCTCCCTCTCGTCTCATGCTCTCCTCTCTCTCCTCTCTCTCTCTCTCCTCTCTCTCTAACTCTTCCTAACTTCGTTGCTCTCTCTCCTGACTGCGTCGCCTCCTTCGCCTCATCGCTCTTTGATCGTCCAGATTCTCTCAATCTCACTCTTCTCCTCGTCCGTCTCTCTCTCTCTCTCTCCTCTCTACTCTCTCCTCTCTCTCCGTCGTCGTCGTCTCTCTCTCTCTCGTCTCTCTGCTCTCTCGTCCCTCCATCTCATCTCTCTCTCTCTCTATCTCTCTCTTCTCACCTCTCCTCTCTCCTCTCCGTCTCTCTCTCCTCTCTCATCTCTCTTCTCTCACTCTCCTCCTCGTCACTATCATCTGTCGTCTTCTCTCTCCTATCTCTCTCTCTCTCATCCATCTCCTCTCTCTCTCTCTCTCTCTCTCTTCTCTCTGCTCTCTCCTCTCCTGCGCGCGCGCCGCGCAGCCGGGCGTGCGTGAGCTGCAATGTCCTCTCTCGCTCTCTTCTCCTCTCTTTCTTTCGCTGTCTCTGTCCTATTTCGCTTTCGTTCAACATCTCCCTCCTCTTTCTCTCTCTGCTCTCCTGTCGCATCGTGACTCTCTGTCCTGTGTGTGTGTGTGTCTCTCTCTTCTCGTCTCCCCGGATCACCTCTCCACATATGCTCCGGACGCACCGCCGAAATACGCTACACGGACTATCTCGCTCTCTCCTCTGCTCTGCTCTCTCTCTCATTCTCTTCTCTCTCTCTCTCCTCTTCCATCTCTGCTCTCTCTCTATCTCTCTCCTCTCTCTCTCTCTCTCTCTTCTCTCCTCGTCTCTCTCTCTTCTCCTCTCTCTCTCTCTCTCTACTCTCTACTCCTCTCCTCTCTCCTTTAAAATTTCTCTTTGCCTCCTTCTCAGAATGGAATCATGACGGTTTCAGAGTGGTGCCCATGAGAAAGCACTGTAACGTGTAACTTTGTGTTTCGCAGTACTGGTACACACAGACAATGAATGCCATCTGTGATTGGCTGACAGACCGGCTTGACCTGTCACTGCATCCGTACCAGATGACCTGTCTCGGGCTCATCGTGAAGGTGTGTAGATAGACAACGTATTCTCGCAACATGTCGCACATTGTTGCACGATGTTGCGAGAAATGCAGGTGTGGCCTACTCGGTGTTGTAGTTTGTTTACCAATGGTTAATCGACTGTGGTGGGGCATCATGGTCAGGTGACTTTATTGTCATCCAATTCATATTTAGGCCAGTGAGCTGCGAAAACAACATTTGTAGTCTGCAATTCTTAGATGATGTTGACTGTTGCTTCACCAAGTGGTAGCACATTTATTGCTAATAATTGTCAAATGCAACATCACTTGTTGCCAGGAAATTGTTGAACGATGATGTTGGCAAACGATCTTGAAAAATAGTTGATGCCAACAAATTTGTGAGCGATTAGTGTTGGCAGCAGCTGTTGTGTGTACCTCGTTGCGCACCAAGCTCTCATCACCCTGCTTCATTTACTCTTGTCCGCAGAAAACCTACTCGGAGTTTGAGATCCAGGGGGCGCCGGAGGTCTGTCTCCGCTCGAAGACGTACCAGACGATCTATGCGCGCATGCAGATGGAGGAAGCGAACGTACATCTGAAGATGGAAGGGGGCACCGGCGGCGAGCGCATGTTCCCGGCGCGCGGCGAGGAGAATGACTATTGAGCTGCCGTCCGTCCGCTCACTCGAGACGGAGGGGTCAAGATGCTGGATTGAGACATAGAGTTGAGATGCTGGATTGAGACGGAGGGGTCAAGATGCTGGATTGAGACAGAGTTGAGATGCTGGATCGAGACGGAGGGTTGAGATGCTGCATTGAGATGGAGGGTTGAGACGCTGGATCGAGACGGAGGGTTGAGATGCTGGATCGAGACGGAGGGTTGAGATGCTGAATTGAGATGAAGGGTTGAGACGCTGGATCGAGACGGAGGGTTGAGATGCTGGATCGAGACGGAGGGTTGAGACGCTGGATTGAGACGAGGAATTGGGATGTTTTTTCTATACACAGACAACTCATGAAACAAAAACAGTAAAATTATGGCAGTAGCCACGTAGCGGAAATACGGTTACCCACAGGGGGTGCTCTAGGGTGCGAGTGCTGACAGTACCACCGCATAGTCATAGTTATAGATGGCACCGATGGGCGGGTAGCAACACCGTCGCCACATAGATACTTTCTTATACAGAACCCGCAGTACTCGCAGAAGCAGTAGCAACAGCAACTTTAGCAGCAGTAGTAGTAGTAGTAGCAGCAGTAGCAGTAACAGCAGCAACAGTAACAGCAGCAACAGCAGCACAGCAGCAGTAACAGACGTATACTCTCGCGTGCCGTTCTGTAACAGTTCCCGTGGGACCCAGCAGGGGTGGGCGCCTCTTCTCCGCCCGGCCTCTGCTGACTATCTGTTTTACTTATAGCAGGTGGGAGCTTTGCACGGCGACACTTTGTAGCTGATATGAAAACCAAAGAGCGTGGCCCTCGACATGCCCCGCTTTCTCTCCTCTCTCTCTCATCATCTCGCTCGCTCCCAGCTTGCGTACTGCCCCCTCCAGCAATGTCTCTAGTAGTCCCCTCAACTAGTGTGCTGGGGGCTGAATCGAGGAAACCCCGGGGCTCTAAAGTCCCACCCACCGCACTGCCCCCTGGTGGGAACATCAGCCGACAGACAGAGGCGGCGACCGGTCGGAGCGTACGGTCCATTTGAGTGACGGCCCACAGTTTCCACCTCCATGTTGCACGATTGTGTGTGGTGTGCTGCTGCCAATTCGAGTTGTCATGGTAACTAAGCTTCACTCAGCCGCACGTCTTGTCTCTGGCCTCCAGGGGGCAGGCTTAGGGTGAGGAACTTCGAGAGAGAGAGTGTGAGAGAGAAAGGGGGAGCGGGAGGGAGCAAGGAAAAGTGTTGACGGTGTGGGTAGAGACAGTACTAGTAGTGAGATGAGAAGCTAGTAGTGAGATGAGATCATTGTTATCGTATTTCTGCAGAGGTACGTTAGTGCCGCGGCCGTCGTGTAGCAGCGGCCATATTGCTAAATTGCAAAAACTCGATAGCGTAAGTCGAACATAGTCAATTATAGGTACTGTTGATTAGTCGATAAATCAATAAGATGAAGTATATATAATCAAGTTATTTATTATTCTTATTTATTAATATCTATGGAAATTGTTATGAATGTTGAATCGTATGTATTATTATGCAATATGTATGGCATATGTGTTTATGTACATATACATATATATATATATATATATATATATATATACATATATATATATATACACGTGTGTTCATATACATTACTGCTATTTATTTGTAACTTTATCGATATTTTGGCCATGTGATGTGTACTGGACCAATGTTTGAATGTGATTGGTGGTGATTGCATGACATAACGTGTTTGAAATGTGTCGCTGAATCTGATTGGACGGCACGGATGCATCGGACGATGCTATTCGACCGTCGGGCAGCAACGGCAACATGACGCCAGACGAGAAAAATTGCGTAGTTTTAGAATGCTTTGTAGCCTGTACTTGCCTGTTGTCTTGCAGCAGATGGCGAGATGGTGTGCGTGCGCTCATACTCACGTGAACATGTATGCGTAACGGGTGAGAACGTTCGTGATGCACGCGTAAGTCAGCGAGGGCGGGTATATTATCCGAGCGGTCGTTCACGGCAGACGACAGCGGACACTAGACGAAGAAAGCAGCCGGCGACGCGGCGGTGATATCACGCGGTCGGGCGCCGCGAAATGGCGGCAACATGAAGCGAAGCAGGCGAAATACTGGCTGCCAGTCCCGCGCTGATTCTGTAGTCGTTGCGAACGGGTTCGTCTGACCGTATCCGTGACCGATCGCTCAAGTGCAAAAATAATCGGAAGTCTTCGATAATCGCTTCGTTCGGATGTCTCGCGAGGACGGGAAATTGAAAAAAACCTGCAGCCGCAGCTGGATCATGTTGTCGTCAGAAATTTGATGCGGTCGGAGCGCAAAGGCAGCCAGGGGGCGCCACCAACCGGGTCCGAAGAGGCGGTGAATTTGCCAGTTACAGTGCGTGATCTGTTTGTTTTCTAGACTGCTAGTCAGCGGGTGTGTTTCTTACTAATTATATAGAAATGCCATCTGCTGCAGTATATATATATATATATATATATAGATATATTATATCTATATAATTTCGAAACTAGTCTTTTTAAACCAAAGTCCTATTATTTGACCAAAGATTTTCGTGATACCAACCATACCTGTGTTTGCGTCTTATCCACTTTTGATTACATTGCGGTGTTTTTAAAATAAAAAGTTATGTATCTTATACTACGAGCAATAAGAGTGAGTAAACCCTGCAGGTGTGCTGCTGTACGTCATGTGTTTTGTTTATAGTCTGTGAGCTACATATAGAGGCGGACAGACAGTGTGCTGAGGTGCCGCACGAGTCATCATACATCATGTACATTGCTTATCACCTCAGCGAGCAGTTAGCAGTGTAGTTAGCAGCACGTAGTCGAGCTGCGTATAGACAGACAGACCCCTGATGATGATGATGATGATGATGATGATAATGATGAGCTAGCGAATAGATGCACGTGATCGGCACGTGTGACGCTGCTGCGCGCGCACGCAGGGCGTTGCCAACCATGCACACACCAGGGGGTGCCAAGCTGCCGGATACGCACACCAGGGGGCGCCCCATCGACCGTTGCTATCCCTGTGCTCAGCAGGTGGCATCTGCAATGCACGACCGATCGTTTCACCCCTATCCCCCGTTATCGATCGATTATTCTATGGATTAAGCGATTGGTTGGTTTCGGTCGCAGAAACTAGTTCCACGCAAGTCGCGCGATATGGGTGTTTGGCCCGGCCCCCCCACTCAGTGTTATTTAGGGTACGCATATGCTCGTTCCCTCCCTTTGAAAGTACCCCCCTATCTCAGGACTGCTAAAATTTCTGAACCCCCTTTCGCGGGCTTTTTGCGGGTTTTTCCTGCCTTGGAGACCCCCCTAAATCCGGAACACTGCTCAATGTACCCCCTATATCAGGTGAGCTCTCATTCCAACCGTAGTGACGTTAGTGTAGCGTGTGGAACTGTCGAACCAGTCTACACTACGTAGTGTAGAGTTCAGTGATCGAGGGGAACTAGGGGGCAATATTTTTACATTTCAAAATTAAATAACCCTGAATGAGCTTCCAAAACTAGCAAGAATTTCAGGAATTTGATCCCGGGATTTGATACAGTTTTCTATGATATTCAAGATGAAAGAGAGAGAGGAAAAACACCCCCTTTTTAAAGAAATCTCCGGGTGAAAAGTCAAATTTACAACCCCTTTTTTTACAATTCTTGGGCCGGATTTTGTCGCGCGAAAAATACCCCTTTACCAGAGATTTTGGGAACGCGCATGCGGTCCCTCCGACCTCGGAGTGGGGGGGCCGGGGTGTTTGTTTTGTCGCATGCGGTTGCCATGGTAACGAGTGCCCACTTATGGCAAGGATGATATGGGAGAGAGGAGCAGAAAAAGAAGGAAGAAGATGTGGCAGATTTTAATTATAGCGCTATAATTAGATTCGATTTAGCAGAGAATCCTTCCCTCTCCCCCTCCCCTCTCCCCCGTTCCTCCACCGTCGCCACTGTCTGGGGTCTGAAACGAGCGAGCGCCTCTGTAACCCTGGTGGTCGTTGCTGTAACTAACGGATAATATACATAAAAGTGCACGCGTTTCCTGCTGTCTCTGTGTGGCGGCAAGCAGCTTGCTAGAGCGGAGAGAGAGAGTGCTGAACAGGTAAATTGAGTTAGAGCGCGTGAGAGAGTGAGGGGGAACGTCGGGAGAGAGAGATAATGAAAGTTGACGGCACATGTCATTCTAACAGTGCAGCGATAAGTTGTTGTGTACATATGTGTAGGTATGCTATGTAGTTATGGCTGCACCGCACACAGCGTCACTCGCGCCATGATGTCACAAAAATTCACTCGCCCAAGAATCTGCCGTTTTTGTTATAGTTGAGTGCGAATAAGCGTTGAAATAAATTTCCGCACACGAGTCGATCGTTATCTGGATGTTTCTGTTGCTGATCTTCCTTGTTGTTGACGTCAGAGGCGGTTACGTCAGTCATGTAATGTACTTGGCAGTTTAACCTTAGATATAAATAGTTTAATATAATGGATACCTTAGGTACAAATACATTAGAAGATGAATATAAGTGCGAATGCTGCTCTGTTTATATCTATCCGTTTGACCGTAGAGATAATTCGATTATCTAATTCATGGAATACATTGTGTTTGTAATTACACGGGGTACCACCTTCAATGACGTAATCTCAGCATTAATCACAGGATGCACTACCTAGTTTAAGTATACGAGGCGGCAGCGGTAATAAGATCATACTCAATAACATGACACTCCACCTTTAACCACGTAATGTGGTACGTTTACTCAAAAGGCACAATGATGCACGACTTAGGGCGTGTTTGTTCGGGACGAATCCGTCTGATCGAGATCTTGTGATCCTGATCCGACCAAATAAACGCAAACTCACTTTCACCGGTTCACATTTCGCTGTAACCTACAACGGGATGGTTCATAACAAAGAACAAGCTGTGATTGGCTGAGGCACGGGCCGCCATATTGGATTCTGTTCGAATCCGCCTCGCTAGCCGGTTCAGGTTCGGTGGATCGAGATCAAGTGATCCGACCAAACAAACAGTCAGATCAACGAATCTATCAGATTGAGATCCGTGGATCCGACCAAACAAACGCGTCCTTAATTGCACGAGGCGTCAATTCATTTGATCACTTAATGTTTTATTCTTTACCAGAACGCACCAGCTTTAATCACGTCATAATGTGCAACATTTTATCACAGAATGCACCACCTTTACTCATACAATGCACCACCTTCAATCACAGAATGCACCACCTTTAATCACAGAATGCACCACCTTTAATTACAGAATGCACCACCTTTAATCACAGAATGCAACACCTTTAATCACAGAATGCAACACCTTTAATTACAGAATGCACCACCTTTAATCACAGAATGCAACACCTTTAATCACAGAATGCACCACCTTTAATTACAGAATGCACCACCTTTAATCACAGAATGCAACACCTTTAATCACAGAATGCAACGCCTTTAATACAGAATGCACCACCTTTAATCACAGAATGGACCACCTTTAATCACAGAATGCACCACCTTTAATCACAGAATGCACCACCTTTAATCACAGAATGCACCACCTTTAATTACAGAATGCACCACCTTTAATCACAGAATGCACCACCTTTAATCACAGAATGCACCACCTTTAATTACAGAATGCACCACCTTTAATCACAGAATGCACCACCTTTAATCACAGAATGCACCACCTTTTTTAATCACAGAATGCACCACGTACCTTTAATCACAGAATGCACTACCTTTAATCACA